CAGCGGGAGTCGGCGTCCAAGCCAGCTTCCACTCTTCCTGTTGCTGCTCTGTAGAGGAAATCGTCGTTCAGCGATGCTTGTTGATCGGGTCATGTCTGTGCATTTCGTTACTGTTCCGGCCGTCTCTGTTTTGGCCCCATCGGCAGTCATCGTCCAAGCCAGCGCCCTGCTGTCGCTCTGTTTCGAAAATCGTCCTGCAGAGATGCTTGGTATAGGCGTTGCGGTTAATGTCTTTGTAGGCCTGGCAGCCATTGACGTTCCTGCTCCTACCGTCTCCGTTTCGGTCCTACGACAGGAACAGACTACTTTCCACTGATGTGATTGGGTGGATTTCGTTCATGTTTGATCTGTAGGATTCATCCGCTTGCAGCCCTATACTCAAACTGGCGCCATCGACGAAGACTCGGAGTCCTGCAAAGAGCCGAAGGACAGCTGAGTTTGGTAGAGAGAGAGAGAGAGAGAGAGAGAGAGATAGAGAGAGAGAGAGAGAGAGCCGCCCACACACCAGTTGGGGGCGCCGACGGCGCGCGGGCAAAGGGGGAAACCCCTTTGTCCCTAACCCTAACGAAAGAAAAAGAGAGAGAGAGAGCGAGAGAGACAGAGACGACGTCAGCATTCTGCCTGCTCTGTTCAAGCCTAGGCCTAAGCTGTTGCCAAGGCCTGCTGCAGAAAAATCAAGCAAGAGTCTTTTCGTCCAATACACTATACTCGAATATACGGTAAATATACGTACTACAATACACTATGAGACTATGATATACAAAAAATTCCTAGAGCATACTATAGGGCACTGTAGTACTTACCTCTTCAAACGGGGTTTGGACTGAAGACCTGCCAGTGGGCCAGTAGCCAGGCAGCCGCTGGCGAGTCGGAGCGTGTCGCTGCCACGCTGCGTCCTGGTGAGCTGCTCCTCTTCCTCTACTCTGCGAAGCCGGGAGGGGGTGCTGAGAAGGGTCCGAGACTTCCTTTCCAAATCATCTCCAAAATAAGAAATTTGTTTCCCTCCACATTGTGGACTGTTGTCACTGACTTAATTGAAGTCGACTGATGCATGGCCAGTGTATGGATCGGACGTGCTTGATCCACGTGCCTGCAGAAAGCTGCCCTGTGCCAAGATTCCCCAGCCACCACTGTGCGATACTCTGCTTCTTACTTTCCTCGGTTCATGGATTGCTGGAAGCAACCATGCTTGGACTGTACCGGCTGGATTTACATGGGGCTTCAGGTTTGCATGCAGAGGCGTCTGCCATGAGGTATCTTGCAGTAGGATGCATATTCGTCAAGATGCATTGGCAGTGGAGTGCCAGGACCTATCACTATATCAAATTTAATGTATGTGTGTAGGTACCGGTAAAGGTAAAGGAAAAGATATAGACATGGGTACAGATATAGGTGTAGTTCCGGTGTAGGTATAGGCAGGTGTATGTCTCTCTCTCTCTACATATATATGTGCATATATATATATACACACACATTTTTAATACGTACGTAGAAATGTACATACATATATGCATGTCGAATTTCGGTACAACACATACATGCATGCATACATACGTAAATACGCATATCCAGGACTTATCCCAACATGTGTGTGCGTGTGTGTGTGAGAGAGAGAGGGTGGGTGGGGGTGGATTTGGGTCTGTGGCCCCGAAAAGAAGCGTTGCAGGCATGCAGCGGTTCCCAACTTCTCTGAGTTCGATCGGTGTCTGCTTTACTCCGTGTACGGCCCGAAAGGTATCTCAGACGAGCCTTGGATGCATTGCAGCCCGGAGCGTACCAAAAAACGAATTTTTGTGACCCAGAAACGAGATCGAGTCTAATTGCACGGAACTCGCGGCCTAGACGGCCTGTCAGGCCCCGGCTGGATGGAGGTTCAGGTTCTCGGACGTGTCTAAAGTACAAGCTGGAATTGCGAAGCTTCCGCACCCGATGCATCAGTCTCAGTGCTAGATGCTAGCGCAAGTTTTGTTGTGGAAATTCACGAAAGCTAGCTCCTTTGGAGCTTTTCATTGTTGTTTACAGATTTTGGTTTAGGCCAAGAGAGTGTCCTTGATCCTGATACATCCGGAGTCTAAGCGTCAGCAAAGTAAGGGGACCCCCCCTCCCCACCTGAGTCATCCCTGCCTTGAGCGCCCCCACAACAGCCAGCAGAGCCGCTATCATTCGGCAACATAGCCGCACCGTACCTCTGCACAACAGAAGACAGCAGCATTGTCTATAATTTGTTGGCCACAGGAGGATGGATGTTCGGTTAATTGTTTTGCAGAAATATTGTGCGTATTTTGCAACTAGGTTTTGCACCCCTGAACCTTTGCCGAATGAGCTTTGCGCCCGGTTTGCGCCCATCTTGCTTGTGCTTGAATTTGTTTTCTTGTTGCAACAATGTATGCCTTGCACAATGCAGCTCATGTTTTTTCTAGCATAAAGCACCGCCGGCATCTTTTCTCACTCGTCGTTGACAAGCACAAGCATCGACGAGTATAGGAGGGCAAAAGAGTTGCTTCTTGCATGGAGGACCGAGGCTTAGGTCTCATGAAAACGCAGGCGAACTCAATTTCTGCATCAAGCTTGATTGGATAGCCGCCGGCCTACCAGTTCGCAGCACATGCATACACGGAGCACTGCGTCATTCATGTTCGCTTACCGGCATCAGCTCGCATCTGCAATGCACTGGTGCCCCTTCCATCCCTGTAGGATCCGTAGCTTTCGTCCGTCGTGGCAGTGATTTCGGTGTCTCCGTCCTAGATGCTGGGGCAGGGTAGGACCTGATTAGAACTTGCCGCTTCGCAAGTATGGGCATGACATAGCCAAGGATCTCAATATCAAAGACACTGCTCCTTCACTGTCGAGCTTCTCAGAGTCAGAAGCTTCGATGCTTTCTCTGATGGCGAAGAACTTGAATTAAGTAGACTGATAGGTTTAGAGGCTACAAAGTCTGGCTTCGTTTGAACGGCGCTTGCTGTTGCGAGCCTTGCCAGTGCTACGCTTGCTTTCAGAAGTGTCTTGACGTGTGTTTCTCAAGCACATGCAACAAGCCATGTGTATCAACAAGCCAGCTTCTGAGCTGACAAAGACTGGAATCTACGCATGATCGTGCTCGCTGCAAGTCGTTGTGCAGGGCCCCTGCTCCGTGATCCAACATGAATCAACTTGAATCAACATGATCTCCTGCCAGGCTTGTGTCGATGATTTTGCGCATGCCGATCTCGGGAGAAGGTCCGAGACAGCTTTATGCAGACGCTTTCATGTCAACACGCGGGGGACGGCAGCGCTTGACCAGTTGCGGGCTCTTCGACAGCGTGCTCTTCGGGTTCCGCCCTGACACAGACGAAACGCTAGATCAAGCACAGGCGCATTGACAGCTTGATGGCTGACTTGTGTGGCTGGCACAAACTGCATGCGCCGCCGCTACTGTTAGGCCGACTTCGAAAAGTCCAGAGCACCTGGGCATAAAACTGCTCAGCTATTCACGAAGGAGCCTGGATGTGAGTACGTGTGTGCGTGGATTCAGGGGAGTGGTCATTCTGATTTAGCCAAGGCTTCCGGTGATCAACGGACACAGGCGCGGCCAGCATCAATGTCTTAAGCTGTCGAAGACTGTTTCATCAGAACTCAGGTTTCGTTCGGATTGCGAGGGTCTCGAGGGTGTTTCATGGTATTTCAAGCATTGTCTGTCTGACCAGTTGGGAGAGTGTATTCTTCGATGGCCTCTTCTTCGATCGACTCTCTCGCTGACAGTCTGCTGCCCTCTTGGCCTACGCAGATGCAGCAGCGGCGCAGGAGCTGTGATGCATGAATGTTTTGGCAAGTGTGCACGTGTCATGTGTTTCGATGGATGTGGTCAAGACGTCGTCGCGCCGCCAGCTTCTGCTTCAAGTGACATGGACAGGCATGACATCATGTGAAGGTCCAGCATTGGGACTCAAGCATCTCTCGTATGGTTGTTGCGCCACCAGCCGCCGGATGTTCTTCTTCCGCCCATATTCAGCGCAGTCTCCAGCTGCACCAAAGCCGCCAAAGGCCAGCCTGACAACTTTGATTGTCTCCTCGACTGCCGACTGCGGACTCGCCAGCAGAAGCTGCGCTTGTTGAAACAGTGACTCCACAAGAGATTCCGCAGATTGAGAGTGACCGCACGCTTGCTTGGCTTCTGCTCTGCCATGCTTCATTGGTCCAAGAAGGCAAGCGGCGACTTCCGTTGCAGCGCATATGTGTGGCCGCACCTTAGCTCAGATCTTGACGCTGAAACAGGGCATCTCTCACCTGCGCAGTTTCTGCAACCCACTATAGTGCATGATTCCGAACCAGTCATGAAATTCTGCTGACCACTTGATTAAGGCTCGATGTCAGATTTCGTGTGAAAACCCCGTTGTGGCTCGGAAGAAATGCAGACACCAGTTATTTTTTTGGGTATTCTGGTAATGACATATTCACGCAGGCCTACTTCGGAACCTGGCCCAAGGGAGGGGAGACATGCACTGAGAATTCATGTATGTCTTACACACGCCCCCTCATTTCGCGATTCCGGTTCATCATATATCTTAAGCACGCCCTGTTATTTGGCGATGATATCTTGAACACGCCCCCTCATCTGATCAGGAAGGTACACGCCCCTTCACTAAGCGTTCCCACTGTTCAAATTTCTTAAACCCGCCAGCTAATTAGCGGGACCAGGTTGAATGCAACTTTTGAACCCGCCCACTTATTCGGCGATTCCGGTCCATCTTATAATATAAATATATATATATGCATATCCCAAACATGCCCCCTCATTTGGAGTTTAAGGTTCATCATATGTCTGAAGCACTTGGTGATTTCGGTTCATCATCTATCTTGAACACGCCCGCTCATTTGGCGGTTCCGGTTCATCAAACATCTGAAACGCCAGTGATACATGTCTTGGAGCAGGACAAGCGCTGGATGTCTAAATCGATCGTGCGCAGTCTCACATGTGTGCATTGAAGCATCTTTCGACCATCCCCTCACTGAGTGTGGCCTGGGTTGCGGTCTTGTTCCTTCCGCGTTACCCCGCCCATCCCTCCGCGTTAAAACTGGACCTGTGTTTCGGTTGCAGGCCAGGGTTTCCACATTACCCCCCAACCCCTTTCCTTCTTACGCTCTCTCCGTTACGGCCCACCGCTTTCCACACCCCTCACCCGATGGCCTGTGGCGAGTCGGTCAGAACCTTTGTGAACCCAAGCAGTGTGCGTCTTCAGAGTTCCAAGTCAGACATGACTAGACAGCTTGGCGTTCTCAGCAGTTCCACTCCTTCACCATCAGCCTGGCATGTCTTCTCGGTCTCGGTGCGGCAGTGACTCTTGATGCAGCTTGCTGACTTTCCAACTTTGGTGTTCAGGGGACCTCGGCCGGAAGTTTCCAGCGGCGATTTCCGGCAGGACTTGCTAGCGTCTGAACTCACCTTGTGCTAGACGCAGCTTCAGTCTTCGATGCAAGGGGTACACATTATGCGCTAGGATCGCTACCTGCACCCGACAACACCGGGCCGATGGACATGCTTCCAGCCTTCGAAGGTTTAGTCAAGCTGAATTTCAAATGATTGGCGAGATGCTGTTTGTCAGTGCAGCTGTAACAGCAGTAGGAGCGGGCATGCCGGAGACTCCCCGAAACAAGAAGTTCAAGGCAAAAAGGAGAGGAATCGGCAGCAGAAGCAGCAGGAGCAGCAGAAGCAGTAGGAGCAGTGGTAGCGACTATAGTAGCAGTAGCAGTGGCAGCAGTTTCAGCAACAGCATTAGTTGTTCTGGTGGTGCTGGTGCTGGTGCTGGTGCTGGTGCTGGTGCTGTGGTGCTGGTGGTGTTGGTGATTGTGGTGGTGGTGGCGGCCATGGCGGTAGTGGCAGTGGTTGTGGGACGGAAGAAGCACAAGCAGCAGCAGCAGCAGCAGCAGCAGCGGCGATTGTGGTGGTCCTTTTCGTGCATGGTAATGGCAGAGTTAGTTGAGGCATGAAAGGCGGACAGTGACAGTAGGTATAGACTTTGCCCTACATTGCAGTCTCATGCTAGCCCAGGCATTTGCCAATGGTTCATACTAGGAAGTGTGTTCCGCCTACGTAGATCGCGATCACTTTGCGGACGGCCAAAGCTCGAGTGCCTCTCCTCTGGGGTGCATGAGTCGAGGGGTGCTCTCCTGAAGCAAAGGCTCTTGCGGCAGTCAAAATCGCGATGAGGTCGAAGCTCGTCTAAATTTGACATGTGCTCATGGCTTTAAGCAATCACTGTGACTTGGAAGTGGCCTGCCCAAGCCGGAGAAGTCTTCAGTTACTCCAGCAGTTAAGTGGTACCTCGCCCAGCCCAGGACTACTGTCGAAATTGTGGTGGTCCCCTGGCTATGTGGAGGGATCTTTGAAACTCGTTTAGCCCACTGTCCATGTCACAGCTACGAAGCCTCTATAAGACAGGTTTCGCTAGGGACATGGCTGTAACAGTAGGCTCCGAGCAGGGTTGCTTTGGGGCGAAGGCTTTCATGCAAGGATTCTACTCATTGGCTGCCTTCGAGCCGTGTGAGACGCTCTAAATCCCTGTGGGCTCTACGACGTTAGGTCCGTCTCCAGCCCAGCGCTCTCGTGATGCGGAAGCCCGCCGTCGCCAGGAGGAGCTACGGTTCTGATGTTGTTCTCGTTATGTGGCCTCTTGAATCGGGCGACCGTTGGGATCTTTCGTCTTGCGACCGTCTTCTTATGTTAGCATGCCTTCGGACAGGAAGCTGTGGAAAAGGCACAGCAGAAGCGCGAGGACGGGGCCACTGTGCTGAAGAGTGACACTTCGACAACGATTTTGATGTCTTACCAGGTCTAGACCCAGAGACAAGAGTGACCAAGAAAGAAGGGTAGACACTTCTCTCGTCGGGAGTTGCAGTGGCGGGAAGCCGTTGTGACGGCAGCTTCCCTGTATCTGCGATGACCGCGAATTCATGAAGCCAGCTGGCAACCCCACTGGCCGCTGCTAGGAGCGCGCAGATGCCGGCCAGCTAACCTTCGAGGCTCGAACGGAAGATGTGCTCGGGTTAGACCGGTTCATACACTGATGACATCCCTAAAAGGCTGCATCAGACGTTGGCTCGGAATTTTGCCGGAGGACGTGCTGCATGCCCACTCCACGGGCTTCAAAGACGGGCACTTTCCGAACGGCTTGGAGGATGCCGAACTCGTAAAGACCTTATAAGAGATGAGCCAACTGCTCTCCGCGCTCTTCTTTTCAAGCCCCTTCCGTCGCATCATGTTTCCTGCAGGAGTGCCCCATGCATGCAAGAAGGGTGGACGTGGAAGCGTCTTGGCTCGCGTGTTGGTGTTTCACAAATCTCCCTTGACTTTGTATCCAAAGTTTCAAGTCTGTTCCTCTTTGGGAGCTCCCGTGGCTTTGACCCCGAGGCCTGCAAGGCGATGCTACGCCAAGCGGCTCTGACAGCTGGTCATCTGCCCGAGTTCTAAGCGAATTCACGTAGCACGCACAGGCACACACACAGGCACAGGCACGCCTTTTTGAGATGAACTAAGTAAGGCATTAAGAGCTGCACGTTTTTGAGGCTTCTAAAGGGAGTCTAAGCAGAGCAGGGAACGGCCGCGCCCTCCCGAAGCCGTGCCTGAGACCTGTGAAGAGTCGGGTCAGGTCGGGGGACTCTTTGCCTCCTGCTCTTACTGCATGTCACTGCATGTCTGTAATGGCCAGAAATGGCTGTCGTCTCTCCCTGGTACAGGGCAATTCTTGAATGCGATCTTATGGTGGCACCACGCCACCGCAACTCCGAGCTACACAATGTGGAGTCATCTCCAACTTCGTGGCTTTTGAAAACCTGTAACTCACCAATGCACGACATGCCTGTGCACCAGATAGCCCAGTAGCTAGGCAGATCTAGCACTCATCGATGCCGCTGATCTTGTGCCCAGACCCTGCAAGACACGAAAACCGCCGTGGAAAGCCAGAAGTGTGCAGGAGCAAGCCAGCAGCTTGTCGCTCGATCCGGACCGCTGCCTTGTGTGGAGCACCGCGAGCTGCTACACTCGTATCAACTGCTACAGCAAGGACGACTCTGCAGTGCGGCTGGCACGGGAAGCCTTCAACCAGCTGCAGGACCCAATTTCAAAATTTCAAAAGGCCTGACTTCCACGTTGCGTATTGCCCTTAGGACAGCGGCGACTCAGAAGGTCAGGCAGCCCGAAGCTCAGTGACGGCGCAGAAACCCCGATGTCGTGCAGCCGAGAGCCGTGCTCCGCGTGCGCCCCCAAGGCTGCGCTGCATGTCCTGGCCAAGGCAGGGCCATGCGGGGCCTACGAGGAGGTTCTGCTTCTAGGGATTCTAGGAGTGCTTTCATTGACTTCATTGAGATATCCAAAGATGACACAGTCGTCCATCGCTACTTGGAAGCCTCTCCGTGCAGTGTGCCTGGCCTCTGGGCTGTGCTCCCTCTCTGTCCGATGAGAGGCGCATCTGGCCCGAAGCAGCTTCGCCGAGGCCATGCAAGCGGCCGAGGCCAGGGACACTTCCGGAAGGGTTTAAAACCAAGGCTTGGGGCTTGCAAGCACTTGTTCGGAGCTCCCCTGCCTAGGAAGCGCTGCAGCGCTTCGAGGCGCTGGGACACGCTGCAGGCCATGCTGCCACACTGAACGCGGCCAGGCCGCAGAGAGCAGTGAAACATCCCAGCCTCATCGAGTGACAATTTAACCAGTCCGGGCCATATGGGCATCGCATGGCTCCCAGGTTCTAGCCCAGTCGCTTCTCCGAGAGGCCGGCCGGCGGGGCGAAGACGGCTAAGACGGGTGACGGGAGGGTCTTCTTGCAATTCGGCGCCCTTTGTTGCTGCGGAAAGCGCGGCCGAGTCGCCAGGATCCCGAGGCTGCTCTGAAGCACGCCACCGCGGGTCGTGATGCCTTTCGGCGCCTCGGGGACTCGAGGCAGACATCTGCAGTACCAGTTTATATATATATATATATATATTTTTTTTTTTTATCATCGTGTTTCCATGTTTTTGATGCGATCCCGGTCCAGGCGGGCCTCCATGCTGGAGTGCACGGCTGTTGGTGCTTCCTTGGCCTGTCTCGACCTCGGCTTGAAGATCTCATGACTCTGAGAAAAGCATTTATGGCTCCAGGTCTCTTTTTTCAGACATTGTGCATTCCTGTAAGGTGGTGACACTGCACGCGCATTAAAAGATGCAGAGGCCCTTCGACTGTGTCTGCCTGCCCACGTGCATCATGGTGAGTGCACAGAGTTTCGCTGTTGTTCACGGCCTGAACGAGCCCGACGATCCTTCAGCCAGGCGTCGGTAGCTAGTTGTCGCCGAGATGCCGGAGACCGCCGTGATGAGGCTGCAGCTGCCTTCGAAGTACTCCCGCCGTTTTGTTATCCAGCTTGAAAGGCCTCTGCGAGCGGTCCCAAGTCGGCGATCCCTGTCGAAATTTGGCTCAAGCACACACTCCTCGTCAGCTCTCCTGACTTCGCGTGGAACCATG